GGTTAGAGTAAATTTCGACCCGTGACCCGTCGAGTCGGGTGACCCATACGGGTCAACCGACCCGGGTAATAACTCTAACTTATCCCATATATTCTAAACCGCACTAACTAGTTGATAACACATTTTTATTAATCTACTTACCGTAGCTGGTTTTTGCCTTAGTCATTGCGCTTGTGAAATTTATGAATTCTTGCGTAAAAGGTTTATCATTTAAAAATACATATAGATAGTTATGTTTATGATTAAACCTATCCTCAAGTTGTCTCAATGAGTACCTAACACTATTTAATTCGCTATTTCGAGTTAACACTATGAAACACGCATTTGCCTTGCCTCCTTGTTCGATATCTGTATTATTTTCTTGCCAATTATATATATTTAAAAAAACAAACTTTGGATGTGTTTTTAAGAGAGAATAAAACAATGCACATGATGTCAAAGCTATTAAGGCTAACAATGTGTACTTGAAATTGACATGTCTAAACATTTTTAGCTTAATTTAATGAATTAATTGTAGAAAGTGCTAATAACGATAAATCATTGTTACGTACTGTCGACCAGTGTTAAAAAATTCGTTGTGCATGTATTATTTTTTGCACAAAATTTACAATACATGTACAAAAAAATTTTTACTTGATTGTGCAAGGCGAATAGTCATATGCCTCTATACACAATAAGTATTCATGTAATATATCTTTATTTTTGTGCAAGAAAAAACATTTTTTGCACTGCATATTTGTGAGGAATTTTTAAATGCATGTCATTTTAAATTGCAGGTTTAGCTTTGGTTGGTTCCAAGCTATATAAGGTTATAGTAAACATATGGGCTAGGTGCTGCAAAAAAGTGGGAAATTGACAAATTTTTTAAAATTAATTTTTTTGCATAAATTAATTTAGAATAAGATCAGCGTTATTTTTTACTTAAGACATAAAAGTAGTTGTATTAATAAAATTTGCAGTATAGCTCATCAAAATTTGTTGATTTCCGCTTTTTTGCAGCACTCAGCCCCTTTAAATGCAGGTTATTTTTTTTTACTTAAAAAAGTTTTTTAGAGGGAGTCGACTGTACGTATCATTAGTCTGCAGTCAGTGTAACACAGCGATGATGAATTTTTATGTTCTGCGATGATTAATAAATATTCCATTTTGTGCAAAAAATCTTCACCTTGTAGCAGAACAGATTGACAGAAAGCCCCTAGCTGTCCTACAAATTTTTTCCACCCCCTGTAATTTTGACCA